GATCATTTGCATATTCGATTCTTAAAAAAGCCAAAAGCCAATTCTGATCTGAAGGCTGTAACAGAGTGCAGGCACGGACACACTTGTTTGTTTGTGAGTTCGAGGTCTTCCCTCTGTAAATATCCTCTTGCTCCAGATGATCTTCAAGGACTTGCTTGTTTGTACCTGCTGTGTCATTCTGCTCGTCCACTCAGCATGACACCCTGTAGCCTTGGATCAGCTCCTCTCAGATCAAAGACTTCTGTGGCCCTTATCAGTTAATATTCTTGTCCACCTTCGCTCCCCTTTGAGTCCAGTCTCCTCACACTGTTGACCTGGATGGTGTGCACTGGTTGTTACGGCCCCTTGGCCTTTCCTCCTCTTATCACTGTGATGGCGGGGCCGTGATAAGGCAGGTCCAGCCTCGGGACAAAGGGAGGGAGCTGTCCACTCTTCTCTACAGCATAACTCTGAGGCAGTAAAGCAGTTATCTTCCCCCTGAGTGTGTCTGTGTGTGTGTGTGTGTGTGTGTGTGTGTGTCTGTGTGGCAGCAAGCTTCACACATCAGTGACGTATCTCTCACCGATTTCTGTGAATTAGAAATGTTCTGACCACCACAGTACAAATAATACGACAAACATATCCACCGAACGCATGCTGCTAGATGTACAGCATCAGGATCTATTCGAGTCCCGATGTTTTGACGGCGCTGCGTGTCGGCCGCAGGTGTCTGGAGGGTTACGTATGTTTATGAGTATGGCGGCCAGGCAGACAGACGAGGGGAGACTGGTGTCCAAAGTCACGACCCTGCCCTGACCCGAGCGAAGGAAATGGTCACGCTGCTCGAGACAAAGCAAAGCAAAGGAGAGTCTGAGGGGCTGGCTGGTCAGCCTCTAACAATGGGTCCGTGCTCTTAGAGCGTGGGCCACACAAAGGCCGGAGGAATCCCCTCCTACCCACTCCCACACTGGAATAGAGCTGGCATTTCACACTGCTCTGTGAACAGCCATTCAATCAAACTACTGTTTAACCTGACCCCTGGCCTGCACAGAAAACAAGATGAGTCTGATGTATTTGGGGAACTGACCTGACTGACCTTACTTTAACTGGCCAGCAGCCAGTCCTTCCACAAGCTTTGTTGCCGATTATAGTCCTTTTGGTGGAAGGACACCACATGTGCTGCTCCAGATTCCTCTGAATGTCCCCTAAAAGGATGTGATCAATAGGACACAAAATAAATAATCCGTCTAGTGGTAGCTAGAAGGGGCAACAGCTCCCCGGGGATCAGCAGACACGACCAGACCCTCTGTCTGGGTCAGCTCCCCTCGAGCCGGGGCCAAAGCAGCACCCACATGATCCTCTCTCCTGTGAATGGACTGCTCCTCCCCTCTACCTGTACATGCCTCGGATAAAGGTGTGGGGGGCTGCATATCAAACAGAGTGGAGCCTTTGATGTGGATGGAAACACAAACACTGATTTGAGCAGCGTCGTAACAGCTTATTTGTTCCCTTTAGTCATTCATTGAGCCGCCTGTTGAATGTGTATGTCTTCAAAGGGGTCGCTGCCTGCCTCGGCAGTACAGTAGCCAAGGAGGCTCTGAGAGTGGCCTGGCCTGGAGAGGTTGTGGAGAGGCCATCTGGCTTCCTGTTCCTTAGATTTGGTATTGATTTATTGACTGTACATGAGAAGATAAGGGAAGAGCAGCTGCCTGAGGTTCTCCTCTCCATCCTCACAGACAATGGGCCTGCTGGTCATCTGCATTCTGCCCATATAGATATTGAAAATTTGCTAGATTTGAAAAGTCAAACAGAATTTGCACCTGGAACATAACACAGAATGTCCTACAAAATCCACAGCAAATTAGCTGAGTCTGCACATTTGACCTTTTTACGCAGATCAAAGCCACATATTTCATCCTTTTATATCTGCTGCGTTGAGGCAAATGTACACTTCTGTAGAGGTAACGGGAGTTTGATGTCTGTCTTATTAAAGATAGTTCCCGCTAATGACGTGTAAAATCACATTCCTAACAAACCCTGACAACCTCTCTCAGTCCATCAGATAAATCATTCACACAAAATTAAGCTTCCGTGCGCAACAAGTCTCTTACTCCCGTTAAGTGAGCCGGGGGCAGTTTGGCCTGAGCCTCACAGTCAGAGGTGTGAACATACTGCTTCGGTGAATTGTAGTCATCCCTGGGTTTTTTTTTTTCTCACCAACACCCCCTTGCTTTTAGAAGAAGAAGAAAAAAAAAAGAAGACACACACACACACAGACAGACTCTAGTGTGAGCTACCCATAGACTGTTCCTCTTGCCCACCCCCGGCCTTTCTTCCCTTTCCCCTCCCCTGCCAACACGGCCCTGTGATGTGGCTGTCTGAGATAATGAGGTGAGAATTTTATTGCAGCAGTCTGTTAGCCTGGCACCAGCCTGCAAGCGCAACATCTTGGAGGGCCCTCTCAGGCCGCGTGGTGTCGGGCGCCCTCTGTTGACCGCTGCGAGCCCACGCCGCCCGCGCGCACACACAGCTCCGATGCACTTCAAAGTGGGAGATCAAGGGCTGACTTGCGCATGACAGCCAGAGAATGACAAAGCCACAGCCAGCCTATAACCACTGCAAGGTGCCAGTTGTGAAGACACAAAGGCATCCGGGCCACTCTCGCCCTATTTATCCTCTCGGAGGAAGTGCTCCTTCAGGAAGGGGGTGTACATACGGGAAAAGGACTAATCTGTCTGTGGTGGGCAGAGGAAGGACAGCTGAGGAGACAGACGGGCAACAGATTGTTGGAAGGGTCCCGTTTGATTGCTGAAGCATTAATTGATAAGACACAGCATTAGCCGACATCACACCGCTTATCTTTAAAGAAAGATATCACATTATCTTGTGTATCATGAGACACACACATACAATTGAGAATGAGATCAAAGAACTTTATAAGTTGGCTTTTTTGTTTTCTTACATTTTCGAAATTTAGAACACATCTCTAGGATACTGTAGGATACCAGCTAAACCGACCTTGCTTTGCTGTGAACACTTTCCAAACAAATCCAAACTTTAAAGTAGAATGATTGTGTTAAGGATTGTGTGACTTCCCAACAAAAAAAGACTTATTCGCTAAAAGAAATTATACAAATACAAAAACAATACAAGCACAGAGTTTGGCTGTTGAACTTGTTGCTGATAAACTGATTCGCAGCATCAATTTCTGCCCAAAAATGATCTGGAACACAAACTGGTCCGAACACAATCCATGTTTCACTGTACGATGGCTCTGATTCCAGGGAAGTTGACATAACCGCGGGATAAAATTGACACCAATCTTTTGCTGTGACTATAGGTGCCTCTTGTTTTATTGGACAAAGTTTCCCCACAGTCATCTGTTGCCCATGCAATATTTAAGGTATTAAGGAACAAGGGCTCGAGAAATATGTCAAATGGCATCTATAATCTGTAGAAGTCACTTTAAAAGTGAACAACCTCATACTTTGTCAGTTTTACATATATAATTTTATTCACTAATGCACAAACAATGCTCTGACCTTTGACCCTTGACTATTTTTTCTAAACCTTTGTACTTTGAGAAAAGGCATGCTAAAGGACAGATTGTAAAGGACAAGTATTTTCCATATCATCCCAATATTTTCTCATTTCCGGTTTAAAGTCCTTGGTCTGGCAGATTTCAGAAAAGGAATGTGAGGAACTTGTTGCGATCAGGCTGTCACTTCCTCTGATCGCTTCTCTTATGGGAGAAAGCTTTTGTGAGGGAGCCAAGTGGCCTAGGAACAGAGAGAAGATGGGCTGCTCACATGCATGTGAGGCTGTCAGCCCGGCAGGGGAGGGAGGGACTCCTGGCAGGCCTCGACAAGGAGAAAACAAACACTGGGCTGGAACATGACAGCAACATCGAATCCCTGCTGGCTAATACACTTTACAGGGAATCAGACATGATTTACAGGATGTTGTTGGTACGATATAGAAAACAAAATGATGGATTAACTCCATCAACATGATGAAGCAAGAAAAGACAACTTACGTATTACAAAGCTTTAAGAAAACTGTTTCAACTCAGGTCACTTATTCTCTCTTATTTCACTGTTAGCTGCCAGAAATAAAGATTAATTAAAAGGTTGCTGTATTACATTACCTCCAAAGATACACAACTGTCTGTGAATAAAAGAAGGAAGAGCTTAATAAACCACTTTTTACGTAGAAATAGAGACAAAAAACTGCATTAACTTCAAATATCTGCTTTAAGATCATATTTTCAGTGCAAGAATATCACTGGACTTCATTCATGTCATACGTATAGCTATAATTTCTTGTATTTCATGTGTATATTTAAAAAATGTACAAGGTAAAAAATGCTACACAGTAACATTCAAAACAGCAATTAAGTAATCCTTAAAGACGTTAAGCCATTGTAGAGCCGCTGGTATCATAACTGTGTACAATAATTCATCTTTTCTAGGGTTAACACAAATAAACATGCAAAGGAATTTGATGCAAACATTGAATGAGGACCGGAAAATGTGTGCCAGAGAGGAAAAGAAAATAGATTAAAAGAATCCGAGAAACCAGACAGATCTCTGCACACAAGGGCAACACTCAGAATTGGATGGCTGCGATACCCAGGTCCCTCTGGTGGCTGGGCCTTAAACACAGAAGCAGTCCTGAAATGGAAACCACTGCATGTCCAAAACTGTCATCACTGAGCCAGTGATGGATTAACTTAGTTTGAAATACTTTCTAAAAAACAAGGACGCTCATTTACTATGAACAATCCTCAGTGCAGCTAACTGCTGTTTAGAATTTAAATGAACCAGGTCATATTTTTAATTTGGATGTAAATTATTGACTTTGTTCTGCTGCAGATCTAAAATATGGTAAGTTCCAACACTCAATTCCTTTAAAAAAATGTAATGAGTTTTACACAAATTGGTGCTTGTAAACTGGAGGTGTGTGTGTGTGTAATTTAGAGGATTTCTTTCTTGTGGAACGTTGTTTTCAAAAATGAGGTCAAAGAGCGCCCTCTGGTGTTCAGTGCCCAACATTAGCACAAACCGGAGTGACGTGAATTTGTAGTCGCATAACACAGCTGGTCGGGACAGGAGACGGACACCTCTTCGCGGTCTATAATTAGGTGCCTGACCCGTACAAACAGATCCTTTACTGACTCTCGAAGAAAACCAACATCCACACAGAGGAACAGGCCAAAAGGCTCGGGACGAAAGGCTATGGCCTCTGTGAGGAAAGACGACAGACTGACGAGTTCCCAAAGCCTCGGTTGTGTCGGTTTCGCTGGCTTTTTCAGCAAAACTGTCACGTCCCCTTTGGAAGTGGTGAAGATTAAAAACCAAGTGGGGACATTTCATTGCAAGAGCGGTTTCTGTCAAAGTTTTCTGGTAATCTACCAGCATGAAGGACTTCGAGCATTTTGGAAAGGAAACCTGGCTTCGTGCCTTCGGCTGTTTCCATACACCGCAGTTCATCTCACGACATATAAGAAGTAAGTTTAACTGGATTTAACTTATTTTTGTCTCACATTTGGCTGCTTGTATGAGCAGTTCGGCGATTGTTGGTCTGTTTTGAGTTGCAGATTAGCTTGTTTACCAACTTGGTCAGATGACGTTAGCGTAAGTTTGTGTTATTAACGGTGTAAATAGGCGGACCAGGTACATACATTTATGCTATATGATGCAATATCCAATTTAACTGAATGTCACGTAATGAAATAACAAAAAGGGTGAATTAATTGTTTTTTTTTTAGCACCTTTCTTACAACAAATGATGCATTTCCTGTTTAGCCGTACGAGACTCGCCTTTTTATTTTCATCCAATCAGAAAGCTGCATTCGCTCGGTCGATTTTTAAAGCCTATGAAAAACGTGCCCTGAGTTTGGTCTCACAGGTAGCCCGCTGATAAAAAAAACAACTTGAAAATACATTAAAAAAAAAAGAAGTTTGACTCAAATGGAAAACTTTTTACTAAACGCAAAAAAACCCCTGAAGAACTACAACAACAAAACAGAAAAACATATTTCCTATCAGTTTAAATACTTTTATCAAAAATATATTTTGTTTCGCTGCGTCAAACTGATTATAGTTAGAACAAATGGTTAGGAAAAGTACAGTAAGTATCATGATAATATGCATAAGATATTTTTGATAAACACAGCTGGCATGTCAGACAGAACTCATAAAAACTGTTTTTAAAAAACTTTTTTTCTTTTTGAGTTTATGTTCTCCACACTGTGTGTGCTGCCAATCGTGTTTCTTACTTTGAATAGTAATTAATCTGAATTTGATTTAGATAAACTAATCACGAATGAATAAGGGGTTTAAACAGTGGCGTAATGTAGTGAGGCGTCTGAGAGTCGTGTTTGAGCTCATTATCCTGCTCCCTGTAAGACCAAACTGAGGGCTTAGGGTTTCGGTGTCTCTATGGAGGTTACCACGGGACAATTCGGATCTCGGCTGGCCGGCAGCGTGGTATGAGACCGAAACAAACACACAGGACAGGGCGGGGCCGTGAGCACCACCGTGGTCTAGCAGAGCAATAAACGCGCTGTCCGAGAAGGTGTCCTCTCACGCTTAGAAACACGTGTGTGTATGTTTGTGTGTGTGTGTATGTTTGTGTGTGAGCACACCTCATCACGAGTGGGGGAACTTCCCGTCCTTTCAAATGCCGCGTTCCTCTTTTTTTTTTTAAACACAGGGTCGATTCACGTGTTCTTCGCCCTCATCGCTTCCTGTTATGACCTTAGTTTAAACGTTTACTATAAACTTTTTAAAAGACTGGTCATAGATGATTGACTGTGTTCAAGGTGTTGGTTTATTATGGCTAAGACAGTGTGTTCTTACTTTTTCAGTTGTTTGTTGGGAAACTTAATGAATAAAAAAAGAAACATTGGCCCATTCCTTACTTTTCTTTATTGAATTAAGTGTATTTTTTGTCCTTCTTTCCCACACCATCAATTGTTTTAGACACATGTAAAATAAACAATGAAAAGGGGAATCTCCATTAAGTTTAATAGCTGATTTAACCTTGATATCCTTAAAATAATCAATAATAACAAAAAATAGCAATTTTAGTCTAATGAAAAATCTTAGTTAAAAGCAGGTAGCAGATATAAAGTAGACACTAATTCTGAATTGGATCTCCACAGGATCGTCCACCTTCACATGGATGAGTATGGCTTCATCTCTCAGTGGAGGGCCATATTGGCCGGAGGACTGGCTGGAGTGGCTGCGGCCCTGGTCACCTACCCCCTGGAGGTGGCAGAGACCAGGCTGGTTGCTCAGAACTGCAGGCAGCCCACGTACGTCGGCGTAGCTCACACCCTCTCAAAGATCTACGGGAACGAGGGGCTGCGTGCTCTCTACAGGGGATTTTCTCTCACCGTATTGGGTGTGTACGCACAAACAAGCATAACTGTTCATTTGAACGGGCTGTTCTCAGACTCCGGATGTTAAAATGGCTCTGTTTGTGCATTCCTGTGCCAGGCACACAGTAGTAACGGTCCGTCTTACCTGTTTACAGGCGCATTCCCCTTTTCTGTTGGATGCTACGCGGTCTATCTGAATTTGGACAGGCTCTGGCAGGAGTCTCCTGACCGCTTCACTCCCCTGCAGAACTTCATTAATGGCTGCATTGCAGCCGGAGTGGCTCAAACCCTCTCATACCCCTTTGAAACTGTTAAGCGGAAAATGCAAGTAAGTGAACATTTTCCTGTATGTGGGTTTTTGTATTGGGGGGTTCAGGATGTTATTCTTAGAAATGTATGTGCCAAAACACTCATATTATACTCTCAAATGAAAGTTATAAATATGTCAGAAAGATATGAAAAATATTCATTTCAATATTTGATATTTTAAGGCTTAATTAGCTTGCTGTCATTAAGCATGCTACAGGTGAAACAGTGTGATTTTTACAGGTGTGAGTAAGGAGGTGCTGTTTTATAACGTATCCAGTGTAGCTGCACTCATCATCTTCACCTGACAGCTAAAGGTCCCTGGTTCAAATCCCAAACTGGACCTCTTTTTTTAGAGTTGGCATGTTCTCCTCAGTGTACAGTACTCCAGCTTCTTTCCACCCACCCAAAGTCGTACACGTTGGGTGGATTGGTGGTGAGGTCTCTCTGTGTGGTCCTGTATTAGCACCTTTGCTCCAGGAGATGGCAGTGGGCATGCAGACTCTCATCATGGATTACTAAGTCTCAAACACAGCTTCTGGCCTAAATACTGGTCAGCTGGTCTGGGGCCTTTAGCCTTTAGTTCATCTGGATAAATAACATCAGAATAACCATCCATCCATCCATCAATTTTCTGAACTGCTTATTCCCTGATGGGGTCGCGGGGAGAACTGGAGCCTATCCCGTTGGTCAATGGGCGAGAGGCGGGGTCCACCCTGGACAGTCATCAGAATAACACTGATGTTAAAGAAGGTCTTTCTAAATGTTGGGTCAGGACATTTTTTGCGTTCCCTGATATGCCGTGTTTATTTACCAACGCGTGTTCTGTACGTCGTGAAGGACACATGGGGGAACAATGGCTGAAAGTGTACTACATCCTGGTCTTCCTCAGCCTATTATTAGGTACCACAAGGTTCAACAGCAGCTGGGAATGTGAATGCGCCGCAGGTCCGCAGAAGCTATAGATAAGTTGTCTAAAGATAGACAGTAACTGTCAGACAGCAGGAGAACCGAAAGTTGTATGTGCCACTCTGATCAAACCAACAACACAGAAGTTTAACGTAAATATATGCGTTTGTGATTCACTCTCTTTAAAAACATTTTTTTTAAAGTTATGCATTAATGCAGGATAGATAATAAAGGATAGGCAAGATGTCTATCAGCTCAGGGTAATGATTTAAGGTTACTCTATAGTTTAATTCGCTAACAAACTTAATGTTTCAACTGCGAATGCCAAAAGCCCAAAATGTGAACTCAGCAATCCACACCATCCACGTGACGGCCGAGCAGGTCCACGACACAACGCACGTGAACTCAACGACACTCTAAGATCCAAATGGTCTCACAAGAAGGCAAAATATCTGGGAGTCAGAACTGAGGGCGCCGCTCGGAGGGGAAATATTTCAACATCCAGAGAATTTCAGTTTCTCCGCGGCAAGATTTAGGCTTGTCGAGATGCCAGCGAGCCAGAATCTACAGCCCCATCCACCATGCGGTCTTTAAAGTGTCAGTGCTGCATGTTCCCCCCCAGAGCCCCGGACCCTCTGAGGACACGCGTCCTCTGTTACATCACATGACATTCAGGCCGCTGTTGTGGTGAAGCAGTTCCACTGCAGAGAGGTCCTCTGTGCGATCAAATATCAGGTCAATCTTTCCTCTCATCTGATCTCATGCAGTGACTTCAACTTAGTATTTCTAATCTCTAATTTCTAATGACTATAGAGGTCTTTAGATCCTGATGCACAGCAGCAAAAGTTTTCCAGATCAGATGGAAGCGAGAGTGCACGCCGACAAAAGTTGTAACATTATGTTCTTAGTTGAGCGTGCAGTCGCATGATACTGACTGTGGTCCTGAAATTGGTACAAAAGCGATCCTTGAAAAGGTTTCCACAACTTTTTTGGGCAGCTTCCCGCATCATCTGCCACTCTGATTAAGTCCAGGTGTGAGAGTGTGAAGGGTGTCACCATAGAAACGCCAGAGAGGCAGAGCCCAGTACTTTGCACGCATTTTCCTGAAAGTCTCCACCATTCATTTATAAAAAGACTCAGAGACACATCTGTTTCTAATAAGTTTTATCTCGTTTTATTGTAACATTCTGACACTTCGTTGACACTCCTGCTTATTTTCACTTTCTGTCTTTTCAGGCGCAGAGTGGCCGTCTTCCACATTTCGGGGGCGTCGACGTCCACTTCTCCGGCATGATGGACTGTTTCGTGCAGGTGGTCAAAAACAAGGGCGTCCTGTCACTGTGGAACGGCCTGGCCGCTAACACGATAAAGGTAATTCCCTCTTTCGCGCACATCTTTGATCCATCCGGGCGGCCTAATGTAGTGTCCCAGCCGGGCCGAGACCGAAATAACCGCTCACGCCTGGGAACGTTGTTGCCTTCATGACACTGAGGGAACATAATCGTAAGCTGTGTGCAGAGGAGGTGTGGGGGGGGGCACGGAAAGCAATGCTCGGTGTGAAATTCATGTCTGGAATATCATGAGCAAAGTGGAACAGCATGCCCCACTCTCCAGTTTCAGCCTCAGAAACCTTCAGAGCTACAATGGTTTCACTCATGTAGCTCTGAATCCGTTGAGTTAAAAAATGGTCGTCCTTTGTTGGCAGATTGATCGATATGTAAACTGAAGTGTTGTAATCACTCTGTAATACGCTAATGGCTCCCAACCTCCCTTCACAGATCGTTCCCTACTTCGGCCTTCTGTTCACCTGCTTTGAGATGTGTAAGCAGGTTTGCCTTTACCGCAACGGCTACATCGTCTCACCTCTGAGCTACAAGCTCACGCCGGGAGTGGACCAGAGCCTCGGGCCCCACGAGCTGGAAGAGGTCAAACGCTACTTGAAAAAGAGGAACTTTGGGTCCAGGGAGTCGTCTCTGGGAAATCGCTGGTGAAGCCCCACCTGGAAATAGGTCTGGTTAAAGAAAAAAAAGGCACAGAAAAGAAGGAAAGGACTTCTGACCATACTCCGTCAGCAATTTACTAGAAAAATACAGAAAAGAAAATGATGTATCATCATCAATGGACTGTCTTCCTATTTCAGAATGGCGTCATTTTACCCACCAGTGTTATTTGGTCATGGATTATTACCCGCTCAACCACGATGGCTTTGATCTAACCACATGTGCCTTGAACGTTGTATTTAATACGGAGTTTGTTGCAGTTATTACTGCATTTACCTCGAGTAGCGCCCTTCCCCATTCACATTTATCAGCTCACAAAATGCTTCAACAATAATGCAAAGTCCCGCATTACGGCTGCGTAAATGTGGGCCTGAAGGGTTTTTTTTATGTACAGTGACTGTGACATTTTTATGTCTTTGTGAGTCTGAAGAGTTTATTTGTGTCATGTAAACAAATCGTGATGGATCGGTTGGAGGAAATGAGACATTAAAATGTTTCTTTTTTTTTTTAATTTTCATGCCCTGGTTTCTTCTGTTGGTTTTGATTTTGTATTGCAGATTTTCACAACATCTGTTTACCTATCTTAAATTTCAGATGAGGAATACCACTTAAGGTTACCTGAATTCACTCTCTTCTTCAGTAAGTGTAATACTTGGTCTTTATTCCAGGACTGCACCCTAATACAGTGTGGGTAATGTGATGTACAATGGGCTTTCTAACTATTTTTTTCTTACCTATTCAAGAAAACTAAATATGAATGACTTTTGAAAAGAAGATAAAAGACTATTCATCCAGGTTTGATCACAAAATCCTACTCGCCGTTCTACTCTAGTACATCCAAATATATTTTTTACCGCTAATATCTTGACACTTTTAATGTAATAATTCATTTCAAATCCCAGTTTCACTCAGAATTTCCAGCCTTGGTGTCTGGCTGTACTTTGAGTCCACAGGCTGTGTGACTGTGGGCAGGTTTTAGTGCGGTCAGTCAGCTGACTGAATCCTGTCCTCCTCTCTATGGGAAGCAGGGTGACAGCCAAAGGACGTCAACAGATGGGGTGACCTTTAGCCACCGGAGTGTCCAGGCTTCAGCTGCTTCAGCCTGACCGGTGGCTCGACCTTGAACTTGAAACAACAACACAACACACCCCAAAACACAGCAGAAATCAGGTGAAACGCTGCATCGGAAACAGATCAGAAACAGATAAAAGTGGACTCTGGGGGGACAAAAATGGCTCTGTTGTACTTTGATTTGACCAGCGTCCAAAGTCAGCGCCTAATATCGGTCAGAAAGCGTGGCCTCGCCCCGCCCACTGCCCCCACAGCCGCCCAATCACACACAACTGTCTCTGTTCGCGTTTTGTCTCGCGTTCAGGCTCCTTAAATCCCCTCAACTCCACATCACACTCGGCCATTTCAGCTTCCCCGGCGCACAGCAGCGAGCAGGCAGCCCCACAGCTCCCCAAGATGAGTGAAACTGCCATTTCTTTCGCCAAGGACTTCTTGGCCGGCGGCATCGCCGCTGCCATCTCCAAAACTGCTGTGGCCCCCATAGAGAGAGTCAAACTTCTCCTCCAGGTGGGTGTTTCTCCTTTCCCCTGCAGCCACCTGACAGCCTGCAACTCTTCAGTTACTGATCTCAGTTTGACGCTCAGAACTGCAGCCTGAGCCCTTTTTTTTTTTTTTGGCTTATGTCAGGGTTTCTGAGGGAGGAGAACTGAAAAAGTCATTTTGGTGTCGGGATCTTAGCTGATGCTTCGTGGTAGGGAGCAGAAACTGGTGCAGTAAATGTCCTGCAGGGTCTGGTGCAGGCTGGGATGAGGAGGGACCGGAGTCCACGCGTATCAGACCTGTTACGTAACAGCCCGGCCACAGAGCCGATGGCTTCTTTTGGACTCAGTACAGGAAATTAAAACATGCACGGGTGGTCACCTCCTGACCCCGCAGGTTTTTAGGGTCCGCCTCTTTGACGATAAGGTTTGAGTTTGCGTTGACAGCAAACAGGCAAGGTCACAGTTTGGGGTGTGCCATGGCTCCTCTGAGTGCACTGGGCCTGGATCCAGGAGGAATAGAAGGGGAGGGGGGGGGGGGCTGTGAACTGTTGAATGGATGCGTAAAGAGTTGTGCTCAAGCACTTTGCATGCAAATGTGTCTGTCTGTCAGCCAGCCCAGTCTCTTTGTTTTTTAAAGACACGGACTCATTTAAATCTCTAACTGATGACAATAAATGGGGTTAATGGTAACTTCTGTTTCTGCTGTCCACTGTAATTCCAGGTGCAACATGCCAGCAAACAGATCTCCGCCGACAAGCAGTACAAGGGCATTGTGGACTGCGTGGTCCGCATCCCCAAAGAGCAGGGCTTCCTTTCCTTCTGGAGAGGGAACCTGGCCAACGTCATCCGATACTTCCCCACTCAGGCCCTCAACTTTGCTTTCAAGGACAAGTACAAGAAGATTTTCCTGGACGGCGTGGACAAGCACAAACAGTTCTGGAGATACTTCGCGGGTAACCTGGCGTCCGGCGGCGCGGCGGGCGCCACCTCGCTCTGCTTCGTCTACCCGCTCGACTTCGCCAGAACGCGCCTGGCCGCCGACGTGGGCAAAGCCGGGCAAGGGCGCGAGTTCAAAGGCCTGGGAGACTGTTTGGTGAAGATCACCAAGTCGGACGGCATCAAGGGCCTGTACCAGGGCTTCAGCGTCTCCGTGCAGGGCATCATCATCTACAGAGCCGCTTACTTTGGCGTCTACGACACAGCAAAGGGTGGGTTCTTACCACCTCCCCCCTCTCCTAAGTCACCCTTTTTGTGCAAAAAACTGAGCTCTAAAATGACTTTTTTAATTTATATATTTCTTTTTACAGGCATGCTTCCAGACCCCAAGAACACGCACATCGTTGTGAGCTGGATGATCGCTCAGTCTGTGACCGCCGTGGCCGGTCTGGTGTCGTATCCCTTCGACACCGTCCGCCGTCGCATGATGATGCAGTCCGGGCGCAAAGGAGGTGAGGAGCACGCCTTGTTGCTGCTTCTGCGGCTGTAGTCAAAAAGGCCCCTTACAACTGCGTTTCTTCCCCCCCCTCAGCTGACATCATGTACTCCGGAACCATGGACTGCTGGAAGAAGATCGCCCGCGACGAGGGCGGCAAGGCCTTTTTCAAAGGGGCGTTGTCTAACGTGCTCAGAGGCATGGGCGGTGCCTTCGTGCTGGTCTTGTACGATGAGCTTAAGAAAGTCATCTAAGTCGATTTTGTATGTCCGCTGTTCACGCTTTGAAGTTAAACTGTAACATATCTTGTACATTTGGAAGGACTTAAATGCCGAGCTATATTTATAGGGACCAACTAGTATTTTCTACTAGTTGTACTGGGGGAAATCTGTTATGCACTCTTCTCTTGGCCCATGATTTTTCTTTTCCGTTTTGCCCCTCAAAAGAGTTTCATTCCCTGACCACAGGAACCTTGCCAGAAAAAGAGAAATAAAGGCAACCTACTGAGTGACCTTCCCGTGTGGTTTTGAAACTCGGTGCCATGAATGGAGGATGGCTTCCCAAACCAAGTGTCCTTCATGTTAGCCGTTTGGCAGCTGCATGCGGGAGATGTAAGCCTAGAAAAGCAGGTTGTAGTTGGGGGTGGGCCAAGATCAGCGGAGGAAGTTGAGCTGCTTACCGTATTTCAACCAAGACGCAGTTACAGAAAAGTGATATGCAGGAGGCGTGGAGATTCAATAATCTTTCCTCCACATGTGCAAGCAGAACCTCTTTCTGTGAGGGATTTGAAACAGAGAAACAATCAGGATTACCTGCAGCGAGGCGGATTATTCTATCTCTCTAAATATACTTAGACCCCCTGACAAGCTTCTTCTCACTCATACTGGTGTGGCCGAAGACTTTTGTGTCTTTATTTTTTGGACCATTTACCGATTGGACAACGCAGGCGTTAACTGTCACGAGCAAGTCATCTCTTGATTTGTGTCATTCAAAAAACACAAAACATGTGACTCTTCTGAGGCCAATTATAGAAATTTAAGTGGAAATAGACTCATTTAGACAGTTTCATGTTTGATGTGCAGCTGAGTTGCTGATGTGTATTTTAGGACTCGTCATACACTGAATTCTTCCTGAAACATCATCTTGGCTGGTGTAAAGAGGCACAGGCTTTAGGCCAGTAGTGGCGGGGAAGGACATTGTGTACCTCTTGGTCTTTAACCAGAGTATGTGCCACCCTTTGGTTAGAGTTGACTGTAATTTCTGTCCTTGTGCTGGCTGTATAAATATGGGGCTGTTGTAGAGCAGGTTTTACTTACGTCTATAACAGTGAAATTTGGACTGTAGAGTACAATTAGTGAGGGCATATTCATGTAAATTATTCAAGTTTTGATAACCTAATATTTGCCTCTCTGAGAAAACAATATCTAAATTTAAGGATAATGCAACAAACCAGGTTTTAATATGATTTGAATGAATGATGGCAGAAAATCAAAAGTCATAGCTTTTATTCTGAGACTCAAATAAGAATAAATAAGAAACAAGAACTGTAACCAAGTCACAAACTTCTTAAAGGAGTAGCCAGATTAATAAGGACAAGACACGGTCACTGTGTCTTTGACACGCAACCCAGACTGATCCCGACTGGAGGGCAGGGCCTCGTTTTAGCTACTCTAGACAACATGATCTTCTCAGATGGTCACCGTCTAATCTTCTTCCTGGTGATTTGCAAAGCCTTGAACATGACCTCTGACCCAGTGAAATGACCCGGCCAGGCCATTCCTGAAAGCCCGTCTGCGCAGGTGACACACGTAGATGCCATCACAGCTTTAACACACTGTCCGTCCCCCTGTGGCTTAGAAACACTGACTCGGAGGTCACATGGTAACGGGTCAACCAGCTGCGTTTTACACACTTTCACCATCAGTAAAACACACGCTGTGCCACGAGGCAGCGAAAGATCACAAATGTGTCTGGATTGATTGATATTTTTGGAGAATATCCACACGAAATATAATCAATATGTTGATATATCCCAGCAGTTTTATAACCTGCAGGGAAAAAAATGCATGTTAAAGTAAATGAACACAAATAACAACCGTACCTGAGGGGATGTGCAATGGTTTTGATAAGTTTATATTTCAGCCTTTTCAATCTCCATTAGAGATGCATAATATGTTTCAGCCTGCTGTTATCGACAAATATTCAAAGCATTTAGAAAATGGTTCCGTCAGAGTATAAACATTTTTGGCTGAAACAAAAAAGCTATTTCCCAAAAATTTGACATATTCAAACTGAAACTGTCCACACACAGAGATATGTATGACGTAAATGTGCTTCATGTTATGCAAAATCACCAAAGCTGCTCTGTCTAAGAGCCTTCTGTCAGCTGTGCTGTTACATAATGGCAGCTGTTAAACTGAACTATCTCAGAGTAGTAGAGATTTACTGCTTTCCACACCAGGAGAAAAACAAAATCCATCCATGAGTACTATCCTGTGTGTAGCTAGAAACAGGATCCGTAATGTCCACGTGCACCCAGTAACCCTAATTTCTGATGTAAAGCATTCAGAAAGCTTTGATTTTCTGCACCCCTCAGTGTTTAGTTGAGGAAAGGCACAAGCGCCACCTTGTGGTCTTAAACAACCTTAGATTCAAAGTTTGTTCATGAAAAAACACAACTATCTGGTCATTTTCAGAAAATATTATGTAAGTGATCATTACGGCATGACCATGATTTGTGAAATCAGAAAAGCATTATTTGGGGACTGATATTGGAACAGAGTATCTCGGCTCTGTTGCATTGCTGCTGCATTGACTCTCTTCTTTCTTAACTAAAAGACAAAAGGAGTTACTACAATAAAAATAAGCGAGAACAACGGTAGAAAGTTTTAAAGTTACACCATTTCTATTTAACGGTGTTCTATCCAAAATAGAATAAATAGTTAGCCTCTGTTTATCCTCTCTCATACCAATAAACTCACTCAAAAAAGTATTCATTGCTGTTGTCAAAAGAGCACATTTTACCCCTAAGGTGTTCGTGGGCAGCTGTGTCTTGACCTGGGGAGTTGGCTCTTTGGTGTCACATTGTTGTGAAGAGTTTCTTTATTATTTTTTTTACAGCCTGGACTGTGTCCATCTCCTCTCAGCTTGTGTTTTATGTTTTCATCTTTGGGGAGAACCAGTTTTTCGGAGAAGTTCAGAGAACGTTCTCCTGAGTTTGAGACGTGAATGAATGGAGTGAAAGTGTTTTAATTCCAAGCTGACTAGAAAATATGCCTGTTTGCAGGTTTGAATTCCTCTGTGCATATGTTTGTGTGTATTGTGTTTTCCCTCGGCCTTCGTAGAGGTAGTCTTGTTCTGCTGCCCGCCAGCCGTGGTTCAGTGGGAGATGTAAGGGGAAGATCAGCACCAGCCTGTGTGCAGGTTTCTGATGAAACTCTGTGTTCAGCCATCCACGGAGCAGCGCAGATTGTCGGTTTCACATCCTGCCTTGTGAACTTGATGTTGCTGTACACCGAGTTGATGTGGTTAGTGAAAGGCCGCTCGTCTTTCAGTCACTTGATGTCATTCCTTTAAAGGATCGTGTGCTTTGCTTTCAACTTCCTCCATGTAGATACTGACCAAAACATGTGACACTCACTCCACATCCATATGTCTTTCATGTCCCCTATGAGAAAATAAAAAGCAAAACAAAAACGCATCTTTGCTTTTTGCACTTCCTCTAGTAAAAAAACAAACAAAACAAAATTAGAAAATCAATGGTTATTGGATTCTGCTGAGCTGAATTTATGCAAACCAACTAATGTTTCCCAAATACCCTACTGAAGCAATCTATCATGCACTCTTCTGTTTGTCACCTTCTTTTTGCTTAATGTTTTATCATGGCAACAGTTTTCTGTTCGGATCTCAATATAACTTTGATAAAAGCAGCACCAATGCTGCACTGAGAACATTATGTCCATCATTCAGAAGCCTGAGACAGCCATTTCTGCTTGTCAGGAACCCGTTTTCTGCCTTTAAAGATGAAACAGAAAATGAAGACTTTTGTGAACAAAATAGCTTTTGAAACATGTAATGAAATGAAAATCCTCCAATGGCAGAGCTGTAGAGACATCTGTCTGCTTTGAGCATCAAAGAAATCGCCGCTGATGCAATTATCAAAGCAGGCCGGGGCAGCTTAACTCTTATTTATGCCCACAGATGCCTCAGCTGGAGCCTATCCCAGCTGACAACAGGCCGGGGGCAGGGTGCACCCCGGACAGGTCGGCAGATCATCGCAGGGCCCCACAGAGACAAGCAACCAACCACACACACTCACTCCAGGTCACCGAGAATGAGGAAGCTGAAGAGAAACCACACAGACACAGGGAAAACATGCAAACTCCACACACAGAGACTGGCTTTCCCTGGGGATTTGAATCGGTAACCGTCTGGCTGTGAGGCTGGGGTTAATGGGGTTAACCTTAACCGTGCTGAACCGTGTGCATGTGTGTGCCTCCACACACGGGCCTGTGAAGCCTCGCTACGCTGCCTCTGGCAGCCTTCAGTCAGCCCAGCTGGTGTGGGATTCCAGACAACTGTCACTCAAACCCAGTGGACATGCTACTGTGTGCAGAGGAAGTCCGGTTCAGACCACAGCATCATCATCCTCACAAGATTAGTGCAGTATGGTGAGATTAAGGGCAGGAGTTCATCAGATGAGGGACTCAAACTGTGTTTTAATGGCAGAGTAAAATTCAATTCAAACTGTCAAAGAGGGTTAGATTACTCCACTGCGTTCAACTGGTTGTCAGGACTGCATTGTTTGGGATTGTAACTTCATATGTTGTTACAAAATCTTAATTTAAAAAGAACTCAACCAGTTTAGCTGTCACAACTTTTACCATAACCTCTGAAACCATATTAAAGGTTAACTATACAAACCTGCTCCTGATGCTTGTTTAGTTATTTCTGGTACTTGTGATTGCTTTCAGCTCGTACCGCTGTTTCTTTCTTCCTCTGCTCTAGTGAGCCCGCAGCCATTTGTCAAACTCAGCCTCGGGATAAAACATTTAAGAAGTGGGTTTGTCAAAATGCCCCTAAATAATGATGTAACCTTTCACACTGCCTATAGTTATTTATTGGACTGTGTCCAGGCAACGTGGTGCAAACCTGCAAGCATGAATTTATTTATTTTTCAACCAAACCGTGTATCGATCAGCCTAACCCTAACCAGCAGGGACTGGCAAGACAGTGGTGATGACCAGACACAAACTTAAGGACTAGATTTCCATCCAAGTGCAGAGGCAGGGGGTTCATTAAACACAAGGTTTGTCTGGTTCTCAGCTAAACTAGATATGAAGAAAAACACACAACATAAAACAAAACAAAAAAATGTTGAAACTTGGGTGATAACTTCAATGACCAAAAATGAACAAAACAATGTAGGTGCTGAATGGGAACACAGATGTTAATATGGACTGACTGCAAAGGGGATGACTCTTCAAGATAAACCAGGAATTAAGGCTGACTAAGCTGCAGGGTGCAAACCCAAAGCCTGGAGGCACACAAGAATACAGAACATGCAAGTTTAAATGTCAATGGGACAGCAAAAAACAGAACAAAACCTGACTGAAGGGCAGAAATGCACAACAAGCTATGACCAATCAGTGGTGTGACCCCAGAGACCGCCTCCTCTGATCCACTCAAGGCAGATGGCACAGTGTCATTTAAGTTAGCAATGGTAGTGAACAGTTTCTGAAAGAAGATAAGCCTGGTGATTCAACCAGCTTTGAGCCTGTTTGAAAGTTTCATGAAATTGATGTTATTACTTTAAAACGTATTCGTGCATGAAGTGCTGTTGTGGTATTTACTTTTTTTTTTTACTGTAAATTGCTGATCCTTGTGAAGCGTTTATGTTTTACCTTTGTGCGGATGGAATGCTGGATTTGAAAATTTGTCTCATTGGGATGAAATGTCCATAACTGTTATCAGCACAGATGGTTGAATCTACGAGAGTTTGTACATTTTCTTAAGTTTTGACATTTTACGGGCATCTTTTGAAGACCTAGCTCCCCTCTGTCAGTCTGGTTGCTGAGGCCTGTTCTGGTATAGTTTGGGTGCCAATTACCTCCTCTAACTGCCAGCACATCCCCTGGATGAGGCAGTCTTTTTCACCGCTGTCTCCTGATGCCTGTTCAGTTCATTCTGGGTGGTGATCTTTCAGACAGTTTTCTGGACACCCTTTCATTAATCCTGGCTCGAACACCAACAAACTCTCCAATCTATTCAATCACAGGATCTGAATAGGCTATGTTTGAGTCTTATTTACGATTCACTGAAACTTCAGATGCTTTACACACACACACACACCTGGCATTTCTGCTTGGCTCCACTCATACATTTGCTATATTTCTGGTGGGTGGTGACACATTTGGTCCACTTGTTTTGTTTTGATCAAAACATTGCAGTGCTGTACCATTGTGAGGAGTGTATTAAGTAAGACTTCATTCCTTTTCCAGCCCTTTTCGCTGGCGGGGAGCGCCTGTGGAGGGCGTCCTGTTGCAGCTGAGTCCCCGCAGCCAATCACAGCTGCGCGTTCACCATCCCACATAAAGTTGGCTCTCTTTTTTCCGGTGCCGAACGCGTCGGCGTTTGGAGCAAACAGGTTTCTTATCTCCTTCCTTCCCCGGGCTGTAAAATATGTGGCCGAGCCGAACGGCGTGCACGTCCCACGTCGGCTCAAAGTAAGACTTGGCGGCAGGAAAGAGCGTGAAGAAGAAGAAAAAAAAAGAAGAAGACGATGTATCTGTGGCGCTTCTCCATCGCCGTCACCCTGGGCCTGGTCTGGTACTTCTCGGACTGCGGTCGCACGGTGACACAATACTGCATATGTTTCCTATTTTGCGCCTCAACCCCGCTGCTGTTCGCGAAGCACGGGCGGGAGAGCAGCACCCAGACCGACGAGGACGCGGAGAAACACCCGCTGCAGGTACGCGCTCCGCGCCCTGGCCCTGCGCCCTGCGCCTCCGAAGCGGGGAAAAGTTTGCCTCGGGGGGCCTGAACGCACAAGGGGGAACTCCTCCGACTCTTGCACGCATCCGTGGGTCCTGTCGTGGCCCTTTAAGAACTCCTTCTGCCCGCGTCGTTTGCAGAGATGTCTTATGTGCTCTTGTGATGTTCTTCGGAGCAAAGCTGTCTTCACGCAGCTGAGCTGAGTTTGGGGCAGATGTAGCCCCAGGTCAATTTTTCCCCCCTCCAAATGTGGCTTGAAAAACAGGTTTGCACATAACAATCTGCAGCGTATCAGCTGTGTCTCATACTGTACACTCATCAAGTTAGGGAAGTGTTATGTTTTTTGTTTTGTTTTTAGATTTCTGTATAGATTTGTGTTTACATAACTTAAGCGGTTTGAGTTCAGGCTGGTCAATCGATCCATTTTACCTTCTTATGTGGACATCAAGCACTAACTTGTCGAATGAGCTGCATCTGATTCGTTTGATTGGGTTGGATCAGCAGAATCCTGTAGGGCTGATTGAACTTATTGAGAAGGGTGTTAGATATTGGATGGGACAAGGTTTAAAGGGATCCCTTGTTGGTTTAATTGTACTCATTCAGCAAAAGTGGTACAATTTACAAAGATAAACAACAAGATTGTGTCAGTTCATCACATGTAGAAGAGTGAACACAGCAGATTCACTGTGGCAATTTGTGAACACCTTCAGTGTTCGATCGGGATGTTATTTTGCTTTGTCTGTACTGTGTCCCTGACCTCTGCTAATGTGTTTTCCAGGAAACTGTTCAGGAAGAGATGTTGGATTTGACTGATGAGGGAACACTTCAGCAGTCTGAGCCAGCAGAGACTCGATACCCACACGTAAAGAAATCTTTACAGCAAGGTGAGGCTGGCTGTGTTTTCTTTTTTGTTGTTTTTTCCCCACTCAGCCGAGCCGGGTTCATGTCGTGTCCTGCTGCGGGTCAGAGAAGCTTCCTCACGAGGACTTGAAGTCCTGGGTTCAGATGTTTTGTCATCAGCTCTGTTTTGACGTTCCGGTTCAAGCACAGTTTTGCACAGACACGGCTGCAGTTCCTGCTCATGTTTCAGCCACGGGGAGGGGCTCTGGGGCGAGCAAAGGGAGGGAAAACACTCCCCAGATACACGAGTATGATATATCACACAGGAAATAAGCTGCACACCATCATCCTCTGTGTTTGCTCTGTGTCTATTTGGTGCAACAAGAATCAAATTGGCTCTTAATGAGATCAGTATTGGAGTAAAATTGTATTTCATGCTCTCTCTTGACATCTGAGTTGTTAACGAGGAATATTGTATGCTTTTCCTGTAATTATCTGGCGGTAGACTTCCCCTTTTTAATCTCATTTACAATTATATAGCTCAGATTTAGATGGGCATGAGCAATTGACCCCTTTCGAATTCAAATATTTGAATAAGTTAAGCACTTTTTAAACTGCCCTCAGTTAACATGAGCTACATGGTTTTTATTGTATATTTAGTTACTTCAAGAAAAACTGTTCAAGAACAAATGTGCATTTTATTTTTGTCTGTAAAAATGTAAAAGAGGCATAAAACTAAAATTTTTTAGTTATTTACAGCTGTGAAAACACATCGTTTTAAAAGATTTTTGCAAATGGCTGTTATTTTCAATTTAGCTTAAACTGTACCTCTGTCTCACATCCAACTGATGATATAATTCAATTGTGTGTAAACAAAAAAAAACAACAAAAAATCCCTAGGGCCACGTATATCTGAAAATGGGTCATTCCATAGGATCTGGATTTGCATACTTTTACCAGGTTATGAATTCCCTTTTGTCCTCGTATTCTTTCGGTTTTAAATTCAGTTGGTGCCTCATTTGCTGACTTCCAAAAGTGGGAAGTTAAGCTCTGTCTTTTGGATTTTTGCTGCTGATATAAAATCTAATCACCAGTGATGTAATTCACTTAACATGGGGAATAATTGTGCTAATAATGTTCTGGTACCTTAATGCTTTTCATTTTGAAATGAGGAAATCTGACTTGTAATTTGTGTTCTTGAATTTTTAACCAGTCTGGAATGAAAGATTCAGCTTTCCCATCCGTTATTAAACAAGTCATTAGCATAGCAGCCTTTAGAAAAATGAAGGGAAGAGGGATATTGTAGATATGGGCAACGTTCCTCATATTAGCTGCTAAAGAACACAGAGGTGTCTCAGTGAAAATCCAGAGTTTATGCAGCTAACATTTGGATAGGAATCAGAGCGTGACTCCTCTTGTGACTTTAATCTGCCGGCAGCTTATAAGTTTGGATATTCTGTTTTAATAAGTTGGACCAGTTCAACACACGCGTCCTGACATGATGTTGGCCGAAAGAAAGATAAGTAGCTGACCGTCCACCCATGGTCCAACTGTAGACGAGGGAAAGAAAAGAGCCAGTCAAGTTTTTAAATAAAATAAAAAAAGTATTTACTTTTTTAAGTTTGGTGGTCTGAGGCTGGTTTACTGTATGCTCCAAGTGTTATTAGGTGCTCAGAAGTGTCTGACCCTGAAGCAGATATGGAGGAGTGGAACCGAGAGGGGGAAAAGAGGCTTATAATTATGGAGGAGAGGGAGTTTCTTTAGTTTAACTGTTATTTTGACCCAAGTGTGTCACAGATATTTCACTAAGACCTCGGGAGATTGTGTCAGCTTCTGTAAAGGGCTGTCCTTTAAACGGCAGGCTTAATTTTTGTCTGCATTCGTGCCACTCGCACGACCCGCTGGTCCATGAAGGGGAGGCCTCCGGAGGCTGTGTGGCTGCAACGTCCCGGGGGGGGGGGCAGATCAGCTCTGCTCCGTTAGAGCCTGTGGATGCTCAGCCAGATTCTGTGTTTCCTGAGCTGAACCCCAGCATTTGTGTGGCGAATCCCCTTACTCACGAGAAGAGGCTCTTGAGATTAAACGGTGTCGCAGGAGTCAAACGCCGTCATGCAACAGTTAGAAACAACCGGTTGGATATATTCACAACATGAGATGAATAGGGAAGCCACCAGAAACTAATGGAGACGTTTGTGGTGTGAGAGGGGGCTGTTGTTGCTGGGGGAGACCGCCGTTGTCAAGGAATGTTGTTGCCATAGGGGTGTCTGTCTGTGTGTGTATATGTGTGTGTGTGTGTGTGTGTATATTGTGCCACTATTCCACGACCCGGTGTTCAGCTGTAACCCAACAGAGGATTGTGTTTTAACAAGACGATCAGTGTGTGTTACTCACCTCTGAGGGCTTTTAATGTTGTAGCCGACTGTGTAGGCATGCTCGTTATTAATGTTGAATGTGAACTGTACAGGTTTAAACCCCTCTGTCTCCCACAGTCATTAAGGAGAGCCCTCTCATTCCAGCCGAGTGTGTCAGTGATGTTTCGATGTTAATAAAATATGCTCAGTGTACTCACAGATGAATTTCATCTCCATCTCACCAGCGCTCGTGTTCAGAGGAGAACCCTGTCATGGACATTTGTGCGGCGTTTTGAAATGAATTATTTTCGACCTCCGAAGTTATGCATGAATTTCGAGAGGAGGCCAGAGAAAGGACCTGAATTTCAAACAAGCTCCTCTGCGGTCTTTTTAGTTTGATCTTCTGGAGGAGAGAGTGGGTGCTCAGGATGTTGTTTTTTCTTTTTTTTACCCCCCCCTATTGTGACTCACCGATATTGTTCCGGCCGTCCGCAGTGTTCGAGTGCGCCTACGCTCAGCTGGTCCTGCCTTGGTATGGCGTCCCCGAGCCGTGCGAGCAGCAGCCGCTGCACAAGGTGCTCAGCAGGGAATTTGACTTCGTAATCGACCGTATCGTGGAGAGGGGCACAGACTTTGATGTGTGCCAGGCGGTGGTGGGCTCCATACGCATCCTGACCCAGCACTTGCATAACGCGAAGCAACCTGACAGGTGAGAATATTTTCCTCCTTTTTAATGCCAGTCAGATTTCACGCTGGGGCCGTTCCTGTTATTCCGCGCTCTCGGTAAATGTGCCTCAACTCCTATAAACGCCTCATCTCTTTTTTACCAGCCATGAATAATTGAGACTGGTTTACACCTTCAGTGGGGGGTTTAGTTTTAGGCCCATGGTGATTAAAGGCTACAGCAGATGGAAGATGGAGATCAAGAGCTCTTTAGATGAGTGGAACAAAATGCCTAGAGCTTATTAACAGCTGGACTTCCTCTGGATTTTTTTATCTCTGTTTTAGGGTACCCTTATTCAGCTCCAAAGCCGAGGAGATGGCAGTTCTTCGAGAGTTTTCCGATGTCCTGGTACGCAGCCTTTTCCCCAAATCTCTCTGGGGCCTCGAAGTCAACCGCTGTGCCTTAAACGAAATCATTGCCTTAAAGGGTAAGGAAGCACTAAATCAGCTCTCTACAGTAATTCAGTGTTATATAAGGACTAAGCCTCCCTAGACTTCCTTTTAAGAATGTGAATTCTGTGTAATCCCTTATTGTCAGTGACACTGTAAGATTAGAGTTGAGTTTCAGGTTATATAAAAGAATGGGTACTCCCCCAGAAATCCTCCACTTCTCTTTTAAAGCTTTGTCACTTTACGTTAAGGCGACGGATAAAATGTGTTGGCTCACAGGAGCCTTGCTGCTAAGAAGGTTTTGTCAGTTATGCACGGTCCTTAGTTACATTTAATTATATTTTCAGGATTGTAGCCTTCTTTGGTGGTTAGATGGAGCTTCTTTTTGGCAACCAGATGTAAACCTAAATCTTTACACTTTTCAGCTTCTTTTAGGCCTTTATGAATACAGGAGAAATTGTCTAATTTATTCTTATATTGTAATTTTGCACCTTGGAGAAAATGCAGTCCTTTTCTTTGATGTTGTGTGTTACAAATGAGCACAAGCGTGTGTTTATTTAAAGATGGGATAGAACCAGGGAATTGCATGGTAAAGTATAAAGACCTCAGAAGCTAACCCCTCACCTGTAAGTGAAAATTACAGTTTTAGGTCAAACTCAAGAGTTTTGCAGATCAAAGAGGAATACAGTCTTTGGCTCTGACAGAAACATTCTTAATAATCTCTCCCCCAACTGTAGACGGTGTTTAAATCAATGGGATAAGCAGTGCGCTGAATCTGAAGCCTTAAAGTGCCATGTAGACGGTTTATGACTGTGTGAGTTAACCATTACCAGTGGTAATGTCTTATTACCACTGCCTCAGCTTGCGTTTTGAGAGGGTGAAATTGTGTTCATAGAAGGCACTGCTTAAAGAAGCATCCGTCGAGGCCAACTAGAGCCTTTAGAGTTGCAACACGGCCGTAATCGTTCAGAAATCCCGTTAAATGGACTAATAATCAAAGCCCAACGTGCCCCATCAGACATATCCACAAACATTACAGGTTACATATGCATGGTATTTTTACGTTTTTCAATTTCAGTGTGGAGGACAAAAAACAAATCCTTTCTCTACCTTATGCAGAGGTCTCTAACTGTTGCCATGCAATGTCTCTTATTATTAAAAAAGAATCCCATGAGAAAGATGCTCCCCCCCCCCCTTTTAGTCACCATATTCACTCGTCATTGGGCCTGAAAAATAACAGTTATAACTGGGCTTTGCTAAGTCGGTGTCTGACTCCGAATCTCCTCAATAACACAAGTGACATGTGTGCATGCATGTGTATATGAGGCTGACTGTTTGGCTTCTGTTTTTTATTTCTTCTTCAATACGTGTTAGTCGTTGATTGACTACAGGCTAACTCATAGTTTGCAAGCTTAGTTTGTTAGACATTGTTGCGTGTCCAGGAAAGCTGGTTGGCTCTGATCTTTATGCTTAGCTTACTAGCTGCCTGCAAACAGGCAGCTATCTTCTGTGCTGAGAAACTCATTGACATGTATTTGCTATGTTTTAAAAGAAAAAAAAAAAAAAAGAGGGGAAAGGTTCACTGGGATGGCGGTTTCTCCAGGGTTGGGGCTGCTGGTGAATTGGCTTTCTGACCCCGACAACCTGAACCAGCTGGTGGTGAACCAGCTGGACAGTGTTACACCTAAAAGCTCCGAGGAGGAGCTGCATGCCTCTGACCCGGATCAGGCCTCCCAGGCTTCACAGGAGGACGACGGCAGGGGCGAAAACAGCGAAGTGTGAGTAGCTGTCATTTTTGCGTCCCGCTGTCCTGAGCGAATGTTAGCGAGCCTCAAAGAAATGACAGTGCCAGCTACCGTCTGTGTTTGAAAGTGTGACTTTTTTTTCCCTTTAGGGGTATGGCAGGAGCATGGATTTCAACCAGCTCTGAGATCAAGGGCAAACGGAAAGGTGTGTTGAATAATTGAGATGTTGCAGCTCATGATTGAATCAGTTCAAAGCTCTGGCTGAGTTCTGGTTTGAGCTATTTTTCAGTGGCAAAAGCACTTAACTTGAAGGTTTTGGGGAATAAAAAAAAAAAAAGTTGTTTAGAGGAAACATGACTTTTTCGGCTTATCCTTTTGTACACCAGTTCATAACTAACAATGTTCTGTCAGATATACGACACAACAATTTCTTAACCCAGCCTGCCTTTCAGCACACGGATATTTTCCTGTTTCTTTTGTTTGGTTGTCCAGACAGCTAATTACACAAGCGTCTGGCTGAATGCTAAACGATTCCACTCCCTATCTTAAAGCAGCTTTTATCTGTGTGCCGAAAAGAATCCAATCGCAATGATGACTGAATAAGAATGGATTATGTCATGTAGATAATGAACCCTTTGATTCCTTAAATCGGCGCTTGGTGAGACATGACATCACAAACTCTGAAAATCACTCTAGTTTGTCATACTTATCTACAAATTATGTGGCTGTCATAGAGACAACAGTGGCACTTTGAATACTAATCATGTACACATGCTGTGTGAATGGCTTTTCTCCAATCTGCTGATCTGATTCATGGCTCACTGTGAATTGAAAAAAACAAACAAACTTAAGAAATAAGCAGAGAATTTCCTCTCCTTTAAACTACAGGAAACAAATTGAGGGAAGGATGGTCTAAATTTGTGGACAAGATGAAGTCCAAAAAAGCCAAGAAGAAAAAGATGAAGAAGATGGAGCAGGAGCTGGTGATGAGGATTATGGCCATCCAGGGCGACGTGTCCAACGAGGACGAGGTCAGCAGCAGGGAGGGCTCCGTCCCGAGCCAGGACGACTCGGACAGGGTGAGGCTGCCCCGGACGAAGCGCCGCGTTCAAATGGAAACGGCAGTTTGTCAAAGCTCACAGATGTTTTGCCAAAACCCCCATCAGGAAGACAGCGATCTGGAGGACTATCTGGCCAGCGTCCAGGAGGACATGATGGAATTCAAGCTCTCTTATGAGATGTGGCGCGTTGGCCGCTGGGCCGTCAGCATCCCTCACGTGAGTTCAGAATGTCAGTGACGGTTTGGAGTGACCCGGAGGCTGGTTATCTCTGGGCCGGGGCCTTGTAACGGCTTGTCCTTGGCGGCTCCGTTAATGTTTGAGCTGGATTTCTGAACAGGGGGGGTCAACTGTGTTGCAGGCCGACTGGGAGGATGAGGATTTAATCTTCACCGTTCACCTGGAGGAGAAAAACAGCCCCGAAAATTTACAGTGGGACGTCAAGAAGACCTACATGGATGTTGTCTATTTCAGAAACAGATGGCAGGTAAAGCCCTGTCTGCGAAACTCTGCTATGTGTTTTTCTTTTCTTCTTCACTGCCACTTCTCCTAAATGTATGAAGCTGGCAGGTGGTACTTGGGCCTGCTCTTTATTTGATTTGTGTCACTGCGGGTAGTTTAAATGACAGACATGGTGTGTTGAGTTATTTTCTTTTTTTTTGTTAAACACTGGCGTCTCCTTGATGACAGAGTGAGCCTGATGCACAGACAGGGACTATCGTCATTATAAAAGGTGTGTGTGGTAGATTGAATCAACAGGAGGGAAACTTATCTGCTGTGAGTTGTTTGTTCTCTCTATTCTCTCACAAATGTTAACTTCTGCCAGTCGTCAGGTTTGGCGTGACGTTTTTCCATTACGCGGTATAAAATGTCATAAGTACACACGGCGGTACGGGCCGCCTCGTCTCCGAGCGGCCACAGCTTTGCACACGCTGCAGTGATATTTACTGATCTCCGACATGTCGAGGAGAGACCGTCCGCTTTGGAAAATCAAATCAAATGTAAAAGATTGACTGGTAACTATAGAGAGCTAACAAAACATATGACAGCTGGAGTCCATTAGACCATGAATTCTTATTTTTCTAAAAGCCTTAAACCAAACAAACTTGGCATCAAATTTCCATTTATTGTGTTATATATTTATATTTAGTCAGTTTGTTAGCTGGTTCCATGAATACACCTGCCAGGGGAGCCTCAAACATGCTGGTTTTCATCTCTTTTTCTCGATATGGGTTAAAAGGGGGAAAAACTAAGAAAAGAGGGAAAGGGACTTTTTAAAAGAAATTGTTTGAACTTTTTCTTTTGTTTTTCCCCACGCAGGACACCACCAACCTGTCCACCATCCCTGAGCTGGCTGAGTCAGAGATCAGCGACGAGCTGAAGGAGGAAGCCAGAGCCTCGGTGGAGCACTTCCTGCAGGTGACCGACTCCGAGTACCTTGGAATGCTTTTAGTTAAAATACGTGGAAAACGTGACTCAACATTTTTGCCCTTTGTCTCTTCCAGGAATTGCTTTCAGATAATCTGATCGGCCACACGCAACCGGTTTTTCAGTTCCTGTGCCCGCTTGACAAACTGCTGAATGAAGAGGTTCACTATGGAGGCGTATGGGGCCTCCTCAGTGGCCTGGCCTACTTCCTCACCCCCGGCCAAGAAGAGGAAGAGGTAATGTTCACATGGAGAACGATTCTGATAGGCTAGCAGCTTGGTTTGAAGGTTTTTCTTTCTTTCTTTAGTTTGCATATTGTGGGTTGCTAGCTTAAGTTAAATATAGGCTGAAGGCATGACAACCATTTCAGCTGGGTTGTATCATTTTCTTAGCAGATCTCTAGCCTGCAGGCAGAGGCTCCGAAAGAAGACGCAGTGCCGTCGCCACACCCAGAATCCAAAGATCTGCCTGTGGAAAACCATTGTTATCCTGTTGAGAACGGCACCAACATTCACACGTCTCCAGTCCCAACTATTGTAGTCTCCCAGTTTGAATCTCCTCCCCTGATGCCCGAGGGGGCAGAAGGGTGTCCGGGTCCACGGCCCGCCTTTAACTCGGTGTCCTCACAGGATAGCTGCTTCCATGATAAGGCCGAGGACTCCGATAATCCCTTAACCTCCCACTTGAAAATGATGTTTAGAGGACTGACCAGATCCAGATCGCAAGAATCTCTGTCCTCCACAAAGAACGGCGACGAGGATCCGTCAGAGCAGCAGGAGGGCACCGAGGGGCTGGCGTGGCTCAGCTTCAGCGCCAAGTCCAATAAAAAGGAGAAGACGTGTTTCAGGATGACTTCTGGATTGAACAAGACGAAAGCAAAGGAGGCCCAGGGCACCCTGCAGCGAGGAGAGGACTCCCAGCTTCACAAAGGACAAGTAGGCTGGGAGCAGCTGGAGGCCACCAAAGCCATATTTGATCTTCTGAAAGAAATATCAGGTTTGTTCAGCCTTGCATGTCAGACAGCGCCGTCCTGTGAACGTTTCCCGACATGTACTGCAACTTTTAAAAAGTTTTTCTACTGATGGCTCCTGGAATTTGGACAGCCAGTCGTTTTCAAAGGAACACGAAAGCCCTGCATGTAGAGACTCGCCTTCCCTTCGGAAGACAATCCTGTTGCCCCGATTTACCCCTCATTAGTCAGCACGTGGTCTATTCTATTCACGATGGTGCTCAAAATGAAAACCTTCCTGCTTTTAACACCTTACTTAAGGTTGATGGAAACGTGAAATATTACTTGAAAGAAGCAAAGTCTGAAACATTCATCAGATACTCCTTTTACTTCAGTTGCATATTTTAGTAATGCAGCCTTGATAAAGAAGAAAAAAAAAGATCCCTGTGATAAATGAACAACCTCAGGCCCACAAAGATTTATTTCTGAAGAGCGCTGAAATGAGCTAAGGACTGGAGCGTGAGCGGCTTGCTGTGGTTTGCTGTAACACTCTTCGGCTGCTCTTCAGCTCGATTGTATCAACTCACGGCATCACATTCAAAAGGCTTTTATCTTTAGAAAAGTGAGTATCGAGAAAGGCAAATCTAGACGCTAAAGGATAGAAATGTGTCTCTTACTTTGTTTCAATTGATTCCTGTGGTTTGGCAGTGGTTCCCCTTTAGCATGCATAAGGGGAAAAAACTCCCATCCCTCTGTAGCTTCTCTCTGCCCTGAGCTTCCCTGAACCTTGGTTGTTTGCTGACACTTATTGTCTCGCCCACTTGCTTTTACCTTCTAGAATGATCTGCAGGTTGATTGATTAGGCTGACCGCAGTGAGCTAAATGGAGTATGGAGTAGGGGTTCGGAGCTGATCTTGTTACAAAATCTGAAGAGTATTCCTCTCTCAAGGGTCAAAAATTAGAATTACGTTGTCGTTTAAATCTCCAGTTTGCTCATATGTCATCTGGTCTTTGCAGGAAACTCCATCCTTATCAACATCTTTGATGCCATTTTGAAACCGGTGATGCCCATCCTGAAAAAGTAAGTTAATCCACGTCCTTTCTAGATTGGATAAACTGGTTTTGTTGCCCCCCTACTAGCGGCTGAAGGTTTTTTCTTTGACTCCAGGAAAGTGAACTCTTTCCTGAACAAAGTCAACCCGACAGAGGAGCAGATGGCCGCCTACATCGACACCATGCGGAGCAAACTGTGGCCACAGGTCCAGCCGGCGGCGCCTCCCGCTCCCGCTCGCACCGAGGAGGAGAAGGGCGAGAGCAGGGAGCGAGCGCACGGCCTCATCAGCGCCCGCTGTGCGTGCCCCTTTCCCCCCCCCGGCGCCCGGTCGGCCGTCCCACCGGTGGATAACGCTCATTCTCTCTGTGCAGACTCCAATTACCTGGTCCTGAAGAAGACGGACATGGAGGGCGTTTTTAACCTTTTCCAGGACAGCGAAGAAAACAAATCTTTGGTCTACGTGAGTAGTCCAGCATTTCCTGTCGTGACGCGCGAGTCCAGCTCTCGCCTTTCCCCAAAGCGAGCGTATTTATCTGTGGCCTCTCGTCTCTCATTACAGATGCTCCTTTCCTTTCTCTTCAGAGAATTTTTGCCCGAGCATTCGTTGAGCGTCAGCGCCGCGTCTCTGCAGAAGCTCACCAGCTCCGTCAACTGATCCGTCAACCTCTGATGCTGATTTTAAAGCCACTGATTTGAGGTTTTTAGAATTTCCACTTATTTATTGACCATCTTTAGGTGCCTTAAAATGGTTGGGACCACTCATATGTCAATGTTCAACACCATTTCTGTGTAATTTTTACCTCAAACACACTGTGAATTGTCCCCTTTGTTTGGACTTTTTGTGCACATTTCCATCCGGTCAGTGTGTCTTTATTTGTGAAATCCAAAACATGATCTGTGGGAACAAGTGTGGAATATTCAGCCTTTATTGGCAATCTCAGGAAGAGGATGCCATCTTTGTTTAATACTTACAGTTTGAACATCACCCCTCACGTGTTCTGTTTATGAAAAATGATGCTTTTCTAATATATTTTCTATCACTTTTAGCACTTTTGTGGGGTGAAAGTAAATGGTACTTTGCTGATTTTACTCAAGGCTTAAAAAGCCAAACATATCTTGAAATGTACAGTTACTGTTAAAACCTGACCAGTGCCACTAAGAAAACTTGAAGTATTGTCCAAAAACTTTAATGTATTCCAAATAAAATATTTTGATAAATAATCATTTTGATTTTATTTCTCTTTCTCCATAACAAAGTTTAATATGCATTGAAAGAGATGTTGCTTTTAAGCTATATGCAGTAACTGAACCAAATTTAAATGTAGTTGATTGGAGATTATTTGCTTTGTATAAAAACATCCAATGTCCAGGGTTGACCCCACCCTCGCTGGAATAGGCCCCAGCCTCCCCTCCTGCACACCCTGTTGGGAATAAATCGTATAGAAAACGGATGGATGGATTTAAAATGATATAGCACAGTTGCTACCATTACACTTGGCTGTAATTGCGTACATTTGCCAAAGAATATCAGCGTTTTCCAGAAATGAACCACATGATTGGATTTTTTTTTCTTGAAATTCAGTCTATCAAATTATGCTGATTTACATTAAAAACTAAAAAAGGCCTTTGTTATTCAGCTTGAGGGAAAAGTCCAATGACTTTGTAATGGTTGCGTTACCCTTCAGTGAGAAAGCAGCCTGTAATATTAATTCTGTTTCATTATAAAAGTTTAACAGGATTCATTACAGGATTATTCTCCTCCAGGTCACAGCTGAGAAATCATCTGGCGGTGGAACAACATTATATCGTTCTTTTTACTCTAATGTTGGCTCAGCTGGCAGCTCAATGCCCAAGTATCTTGAATTGAAACAGTTGCTCCTGTTTGGTTCAATCTGTGGATCACATATGATCCAAAGATACCTGAACATCAGATTGAAATCCAGGCAAACCTTTAGGCTGAGCTCACACATCCTCTTCTGGACCGGCCACTGGTTAAATCTTAAATCATTCACTGTGGTTGTTGATCAAAGTTCACACATGATCTTGTAAAAAGATGAGAAAATAATCTCAGAGTCACATGAGCTTCACCATAAAAATCTCTTTCCATCGGTTACGACTGCAGATGCCAAGTTTCACTAGGCGATAAGGTAATATGGCCAAGGGGTTAAACGAGAATTAAATCAAAAGTTTAAAAAGACAACAACTGGATGATTATTGCAATAAAGGACATATATGTATGTGTATGTAAAAAAACAAATGACTAATTGATAGTTCTAAAGCTAAATAAGCTGACAGTGTGTGCGACCTTCAGCTTGAACTTTTACAAGAGAAAACAACAATTATCCCCATAGCAAAGCAGTGGACTCCCGCTGAGCATTGTGCCTCAGACAGCACCTCAAATCAACATTAAAACAGTTAACACCAAAACAATCTGACAAACATGGTGGCGGGGAAAGGATGCGTGGGGAAACCTGACACGATGGTTGCTCATAGCAACAGAACATTCAGAAACCAAAGGAAAGGTGCCAGCAGTTGCTCCTGGCAACTGAATGCTCAAAATGATCTTCTTAGAATCAGAGTAACCCAGTTGGGTTAAAAAGGACTGCCATCTGGGAAATCTGCCTGAAGCGTGGACAAAAACATGTTCAAGACTAAATAAACCTTCCTTTGAGGTTCTGGTTAGGAACAATCCCTCAAAAGAGATTAAACCCAAGGTGAAAATGTTCTCTCTATTTTTTTGGTATCATTGTTACAGATCAGGTCTGCAAAATTTTGAAAGATGTTTTAGATAAACTGAAAAATACCAAAAACCTCGGTGTTCGAGTCCAAGTAAAAATGCCAATGCAGATTGATAAAGAAACCAACATGTAGTCAAACTTGGATGGATTAAATTAGCACAAAAAAGGACTCACATGATGTATATTCTACACTTAATTGCTCGTTATGCACCAAATAAGATCATTCAGGACAATTCTCCTTTAACTGCTGACAATCCAGACGATTTGCAATAATCATTAACCGGATTTTGAAAAGTCAAGTTCAAGTACTCCTGTAAAAGGGACCAAAGCTCTCGTGCTTCATGTTTCATGACCATTTTACAGCCACAATGGCAAAAAAAAAAAATTCCAATTCGCCACAGAAGATTAAACATCTCCTCTCCTCAAAGTTTGACAGTCTACTTTTACAAAATAAGCGGAGACATCCACTCCAACCTGAGGAATCGGCCGGTCCCTGCGCCTCCGGGCCAGCAGGGGGCGCTGCTGCCAGCAGCAGCCGCAAACTGCTCGCTCCCTTTCAAGATGGCTGCGCCCTGAAGGATGCTGAAGACGGCGTGAAGGGACAGGACAAGCGACAGGTAAGACGACATTGTACGCGTCGGTTCGGCTGAGTTTGTCACGGTCCCGAGTGACCTGCCAGTGAGATCTGGAGCCGGCCGGCCGTAGAGTTAGCGTTTAGTGAGAGGCCTGTCGCTTGTTGTTGTGTAACAACACGGAGATGACCAAGAAGATGTCACTTGAAATTCTAAATACACGCGTAATTAGTCTGACCACAGGATTATTGTTGTTATTTTGCATTAAATGAGTTCAAAACAACCTGAATAGATCAGTACTTAGCGATAATATTGATAATATTCGACGCCTAGGAGCCCAAAGTCAAATCTGAAGCTGAATAGCCGCTCTTTTTTATTTAATTTGTCTGAATATTGCACATCAGCTCGTGCATTGATGTTCTTTTAATGGAGAAAGACTCACTAAATTACCAATGAAAACTACTGAAAATGTGTAGTTTATTGCAAAGATCACAGCAGTGTTTGGAAATATTAAGGTCAGCTTAATGTCATAACAAAGTGGACAACATAGTGTCAGTTGTGTGTCTTCACAGCTTCCGGTTTTTAAGTGACATTTAAGAACAACAACAAAACCATACCGTGGGTTAAGACATGGGTCCCAGCTGTCAGGGTGTGTTATTTATTTATTTAAATTACATTTTATTCCATTTGTGTGTGCCTATCTGGAGTTACTTTTCATAAAAAAATATATATTTATATAAAGGAGACAGTTTAAAGATGGGGCAGTATGTTGCTGGTCAGTATGACCCCTTATGGCAGCACACCAGATAACCTCAGTGCCTTCAACACCTGACTGCTGGTGAAAGGTTAAAGGGCATGAGCCAAACGGGCTCAGTCGTTTCCTAAACGCTTCGGATGAGGACGTCACATCCACGGGGGAGGCCCTCCGCCTCAGAGTTCACAGCGTCTGCTGTCACTTTGTGGCTGCCGTCACGCTCGGCTTGCTTTCAGCTACAGAAAAATGACCTGTATTCACATGTTGCCCAGAGAGAGCTCAGATATTTTTTTTTCCTGTTTGTGGAAACATCAAAATTATTTGTCAGGATGCTTTTTCTCTTGTTCCATTGTTCATTCGGTCTCGACATAAAGATGTCTGAGAGGATTAGCAGACCAGTGAATTCAGCTCCTTTCTGCACACCCCGGCCTTACGGATGATGGATCACGGTCTGAAACCTTACACACTCTGATGTGGTTTGGATGATAAAAGCCTCAGCCGAGCTCTTAATTCATTTTTGGCCATTTTCTTTTTATGTTTCTGGCAAATTAAGTGGGGAAAAAACTGAAATATGTCTTTTTCTCCATTCAAGCCTTTATTGCTGGAATTTATTGATTAAAAAAAATATTTTAATAGGATTTTTTTGTATATTTAAAAGATTCAAAGATGATGAGGGAGGGAAATGCAATTCAGAAGGGCAGAGAAAGACAACAGTCTTCTTGGGAACTGATCCCAGGAATAGACCTAACACATGCAGGGGGTTTTGCCTGGAAGTCATCACTATTCAAATACATGGTCTTAGGCTGAAGCCCAGTGGCAGTGATTGGCCCTTGTGTGCTTCTCCAGCACTTAGCTTTCCACCCATCTGCACGGGAATGGGCCAGAGAGCAGCTGTGCATCTTACTTTGTGCTCAACGACTCAGCCTGTAACCACTGTGGGACTGGACCTGGATTACTGATGATCTTCCAGGTTATATTAAAAGTTTTAATAAAGGTGATGGTTAGGACTGAGACACTTTGACACAGTCATTTCTTTTCCTGCATTGGACAAAATGAGCATGTTAGTTACTGATGGAACCCAAGAAATTTCTTTCAATGTCGATGAAAATGCCAGATTTGTTGCAAAAAGCCCTTTTGACCTCAAGCAGGATGCAAAATATCATTAAACCTAACGTGTTCTTACCAAGACTGAAAAAGAACTTCTTTTCACAGTCCACAAAATATTTACAAGGAAACATCAGATTAAAATTTAAGGAATCTAAACTAAATCTCTAATAATAAATATAATCAGTTAATGTTGATCATGTGCTTCATGTTAATTATAACATTAAAGTAAAGTTTAGGGTGGCTCTGTGATCATAAATGTCTGAAACTCACTGCAGAGGGTTCTTCAGCCTCTTTAACATCTGTTGCAGGGCCCATCCCTCCATCCACAGCAACGATGTTCTCCTTTTCCTTTGTCTTTAATAACCTGTTTAATGCAACACAGTAAGTTCACCTTCTCGGTTTAATTGAGTGTTATTCAGTCCATATGGAGTATTTGTTTATTTATGTATGTTTATTCATTCAGTGCAAATTGATAACAACACCCCCCCCCCCAGAATATCACGGAGAGGTACAATTAGAACAAAGTCATATGGTGCTTCTGCAGAAAAGCTCTCCACCATTCCCGTGCCTGTGCATGCATCACTGACTGGGGGGGGTTCCTGATGTGCCTGGCAGAGGATGGGTGTCTCTGTTATGGGCTTCAGTGACTGATGCGCCTAGAGCAACATCGCTCAAGAGCAGCAGCATCCGGCTGGACACCTGTCAGCGCATCCACTCCAATTATTTCTCCAACTCAAGTAGACTCCGAAGGTCTGCTTGTAAGACTTTCATCTCCTCCTGTCCTCCTCCAGTGGAGCTTGAAATGTTTTTCCGACGCCAGATTTTCTATTTTCCCTGCAACAGTGGCGTGACACCCTTTGGTTAGAGTTTACAAAGCAGTCAGTTTCACTCCTGCTGAAGTTCCTCTTCACTGTGGCAGGAGCACAGTTGATTGGTTGTTTTGCTGCATCCGGAGTTGGCCCCTTTCCTCTTTTCCTTTCCTTGTTTATTCACTCAAACACACAAACACGGAAGATATGCCGCACAGGCAGGTATCAAACCGGGAGA